CCCCCTAGGGGGCACAATGGGGAATGCAGCCTGCATGACCGGTGTCTGAAGCACATGTGAAACAATGCCAATCTATTGGCCCACATGGCCCATGACATCATAGGCAGGGTGCATGGAAGTATAAAAGGGCACCTGCTGAATACGTCATCCACTTTAGCTGTCTGAAGGAGACGCAGACAGGCAGGCCGAAGGCATGGCAAGGGGGCCCAGAGTCTCGTTCCCTCTCGGGGAACCATGGTTACATGCATAACCCGAGACATTCCCCATCTAGGGAACTCAGCGCTGCACCCCCTAGGGGGCACAATGGGGAACGAAATCCAACCACACCGTGCCGAGGCGCATGCCTGTCCACCTGGTGGGAGAGCACCAAGGAAGTGACAAACATACACCAAGCTTTTCCTTAGAAAGGGGCCATGCCACTGACGCCACGGGCCGCTCATGCAACTTGGCAGAAACAGGGAACCCGAATAGATCAAGGAGAACATCTCACCCAAGTTAAGAGCACAGCTATCCTCAGATAGTTATGCTATCTAGATAGTTAGCCTGGATACACAAGACCACTGAAGAGGCTAACTAGAAAGCCTCTGAAGGAGCTCAGAGATCGCTACATAAATCGCAGGTAAAGAGAGTAGCTGCTGAGCTAGAACACAGCTATCCCCAGATAGCTAGGCTCTAGGAAAGGGGACCACTTAAGGAAAGGGCTCACCGCAACTGCAGTAGAACACAGCTAGCCTCAGATAGCTGTAATTAAGTAAGATGCAAACTGCCATAACAATGGCTGGAATATAACCACCCTCAGGTGGCTATACCAAGGAGGTCCCAAACCTGTGTCAGTCCCACAATAGACAAAACCAAGATAGCTTTCCTACAAAGCTGCCCAGACCACAGAGAGTGGGCTATCTACTTACTACCCTAGCAGGGGAGATAGCACTGTCTAGGCAAGGGCTCAAGGAGACTGCTACTTAAAGACCCTAAGAAGGGAAGTAGTCACTGAGCTAGCACATAGATATCCTGAGATAACTATGTACCCAGGAAGTCAGACTGAAACTACCCAGACCACAAGAGTGGGCTGTCTACGTACAATTCAAAGAGGGGAGACAGCACTGTCTAGGTAATAGCTCAAAAGACCGTTACTTAACACCCTAAAAAGGGGAGCAATCACTGAGCTAGCACATAGCAATCCACAGATAGCTAGGCTCTAGGAAAGGAGACCACACCATAAGAGGACTTACCGCAACCGCAGTAGAACACAGCGAGCCTCAGATAGCTGTATTCAGGTAAGCCCGTCCCGCCATACCGATGGAACCGGGTTGACTGGGTACTCGGTACCACCGGTACTTAAAAAAACCTGGTACCGTAACGTTTTCATTTTTTTAGTACCGACTTGGTACCGAAATACCGGGTCTTTTGACAACACTACTTACTACCCTAGCAGGGGAGATAGCACTGTCTAGGCAAGGGCTCAAAGAGATCGCTACTTAAAGACCCTAAGAAGGGGAGCAATCACTGAGCTAGCAAATAGATATCCTCAGATAGCTATGTACCTAGGAAGGGCTACCAGAAGGGGGACAGACTGAAAACTACCCAGACCACAAAGAATGGGTTGTCTACTTACGACCCAAAGAGGGGAGACAACACTGTCTAGGTACAGGCTCAAGCAGGGGAGCAATCACTGAGCTAACACATAGGCTCTAGGAAAGGGACCAGTCCATGAGAGGCCTCACCGCAATTGCAGTAGAACACAGCTAGCCACAGATAGTTGTATTCAAGTAAGCCCATCCTGCCAAAACAATGGCTGGAATATAACCACCCTTAGATGGCTATATTAAGGAGGTCCCCAATCCGTGTCAGTCCCAGAGTAGGCTAGCGAAGCACCATGTTATTGACCAGGAGCTCACAAGAGGGAGATCTGGGCCATCAGTAAATGATTCGCTAAGAGCGAACACAAACATCATTAGTCCGGGATAAAAGCCTGATGTAAGCTGTGGCCATAACACTAGAGGGCTGGACACAGCTATCCTCGAATAGCAGTTCACTCAGATAAGGCTGAAGATAGCCCAGACCACGGAAGTGGGCCATCTACTTAAAACCCCGAAGGGGAGACAGCACAGTCCATGCAAGGGACTCACGGAGACCACTATTTAAAAACCTTAAAAAGGGGAGCAGTCTCCGAGCTGGAATACAGCTATCCTCGAATAGCAGATTCCTAGACAAAGACTTCAGCGCTTAATCGAGAGAACTTGTGCCAAGGGGAAAACAACCTAGTTTAGGAGCCAGGCTAGAACATAGCTGCCCTCAGAACGCCATATTCCAGAGCAAAGTAAGCTTGAGCTGGAGCATAACCACCCACAGATGGCTACACTCCGGCTTAACACAGGAAGAAACATTCCCCATAACCACTCTAGGTGCTGAAAACCCTGGGAGAGAAAACTCTCAAGCCTCTCTCCACAGAGTATTTAAATATATTCACGCCCAGCTAGGCTCTCCATACACAAAAAAAACATGCATATTAGAGAGGCATGCCCGAGCTGAATATATCTCCGCCCACGATCTCGCAGGATCAGGGCTGAAATGACTCCGTGCTAACACTTCATCGTCATAACAACCGAAAGTATCTGTGACATCCGACAACCTGTTTAGAGAGGGTGTGCGGATCCCACAGATCAAAGCGATGACCGCGAGGTGAGATAAACTGTGCCGCAGCAACGACGGAACCGCGCCACGAGACACAAACGCTTTGTTCCGCATCCCTCGGGAATAGGAACAAACGAGAGCGGAGCCTAGACACCGTGACTCATCACGATGAGCGCTTAACTCTGAACGCTTGTGCTTTTCGTCGAGACAACGCGAAAGCAGAACATGCACTCGAATGTTAGAATCCAAACAAGGAGGCACACATTCCTTAAGGCGCTGCTTGACTCGAGCGCTATCCGCGGGATCCGATAACCCAAAAAGACCATCTTAATCCCACGAATCCCACGAATCCCACGATCTGAGTATTCGCCGTGCCTCGGCAACAGCGGGACCCGAACCGCGAGATGCAAACTCTTGTCACTCGTCTCTCGAGAAGAGGGACAAACGTGAATGGAGCTTCTCATTGGATAACACTCACAATGAGTGTGTTCAGAGCCCTGGAGCACTGACCGAGCAAGCTCCTGACCAAAACAGATGACAGATAGATTGTGTGTGCCCTCAAGTCCCAGAAACCTCTGGAACGGAGGCACACACTTTCCACACCGCCAGGGGCGTGTCTACGTGGTGGCCAGGGGTGGCACCGGCCCCCCCCTGAACTTTGGCTGGCCACCCCAGGTGCCCCCCCCTACCAGATGTCTTGCCATAGGCTTGTTTTTAGTAAATTTCTAATTTTAGGCGGTTTCTATAGTGTGATCTTAATGACAATGTTGAAAGTGCATAATGTTACGCGATCCATGTGCGCGAGGACAAATCTCTCCACTCCCAAGTGGATTTCCTTCACTCACACAAAACTGGACGTGTGCTTTTAACATACATCGTTCCGCAAACACAACCCCCCCGGCCACCCTCTTTTGAGCCAGTGCCCCTGACTGGCCCCCCCATTTAAAATGCTCTAGACACGCCCCTGCACACCGCTCACCTGCCTTGGTCTCTCACATGCACTTCAACCAGTCGGCTTCTGAAGACAGCAAAGAGGATGAAGTATTTAGCAGGTGCCCTTTTATACTTCCGGGCACCATGCCTATGACGTCATGGGCCATGTGGGCCAATAGATTGGCGTTGTTTCACACGTGCTTCAGACACCGGTCATGCAGGCTGCATTCCCCATTGTTGAGTGATTAGTTCCATAGATGAGGAACGGATTGAACTATCTAATATGGTCAACATAGTTGAAATTGACTGTAAGTGAAGTTGCCAAACTTCTGTTCAAAGCAAGCTGTATTGTATACAGCACTATCTACATTTATTTGGCTGATTTCAGAATAGCATTCAACTCTTACTATTTCTGCCATCTGCCAAGGCTGCACATTTGATGTGGGTTTTATTTCTATGAAGACACAGCCCAACAAGTTTGTAAATGAAAGGTGGGGCATTTTAAGGGTGTGGTTAGATACGTGTGTGCTCAGACAAGGTGAAGTCATTAGTGGGAGTGGAAAATGTGAAGCAATACAGATGCCTTCTCTGTACCTGCTGATGCCTCTCTGTGCTTTCCAAACACGGCTCTAACAAACCGAGTTACAATCTTCCCATTCTCTCTCTCATACCACTTTTCTACCAACACGTTGATAGAACATTTTTCATGGTTCACATTTTCCACTCCTACTAATGACTGCATATAATTTCCCACATTCCATCTAGTTCCACTGAAAGAGATGGATATGTTTTGGAAACCCTGGGTCTGTACCAGCGCCATAAGTACTGTTAGGTAGAGTTGAGATAATTGGACTACAATTATGAATGAACTTGGACTCGGACTCAGACATTTTGGACACATACATTTTCAGAGTACAGAGGAATCCATGTCATGTGTAACATAAAAGATAAAAAAAAAAAAAAGTAACAACATAAAACTAAGATAAAAAGACATTAATAAACATCTCCTACTCTTGCTCAGCTGGTTAAAGACGAGGACTCAACAAGGTGGACTCGGACCCAACACTACTGTCCGGATCTCCCACTGGAGACCATGCAAACAATCCCTAATGAATTCTTACTGCTGGGACATTTGGTCCACATATATCTGACTAAAGATAATTAAAAATATTTCATTTAATATGCTGTAAATATTGTTTTAATATTTAATCTTATAGTTTTAAAAATGTCTGACTTACATTAAAGTGATGATTACATTTAATTACATTAAATTATGATGGCATAAAGAAGCTGTATTAGATATACATAAAAATATCTTCACAAAAAGGTGATATGTTAAAAGAGATATGTTAAGTTAGTTTAATGGTAACACTTCACAATAAGGTTACATTTGGTCACAGTTAATACTAACAAAAACATAACTGAAAGAACAGTTTACAGTTTTTTTTTTACCATGTTTATTAATCTAATGTTACAATGTGCTAGAATAAATATAAAGTCAAGGGATAGTTCACCCAAAAATTACAACTCTGTTATCATTTACTAGATATGTAAAATCAATATCAAAAAATCAAAAATCCCAAAGCTAGTACCTAACCCAGAGTCATTGCTGTGATGTTTCTGTTTATTCAGCCCCACCTCAAATATATCATCACCTCATTCCAAAGAGTACATCCAAATGTAGGTTTTTATTAAAAATGACATCAGCTAAACTGTTGTAATTTTAAATATGTTTTGCATTGTATATAAATGATTATTTAAAAAAATTATTACTGCATATTAGCAATGAGAAAAGTAAAAACAGTGGAGTAAACATTTAAAGTTACAGTAAGTTATGGGATCTATGCATTCTAGATTATATCTTCACTGATTCCGATTCAAGGAGGTATTGTGAACATAACAGTGTGCAGACAAGGAGGTGTAACATCTACAGCATGAAACTGCAGACAGAGGCCAGTAGTGCGGCGCTGAGAGCCCCAGCCATGGACAGCTGCGCAGCACTTGCTCCGTTGCACAGATCTGTGGCGCAGCAGGTTTTGGTCACGGTGTATCCCGCTCCCAGGACGGTCCCGGCGGTGTTGTTGCAATCAGATGTGCAGCCACTTGAGGACAGACTCAGAAACCCAGTCACATTGAACTCTGCAAAGAGTTATTAGAGCGGAGCAGGAGCAAGATGTCAAAATGTATTATTATTATTATAAATAATACCATTAATAAAAATAATAATGTTTTCAGAAACCAGCCAACATATTTTAGTACAGAAATCTATGTTAAGTCACTTTTGTAACAGTTCTGGCTTTGGTTTTTTTTAGTTTGTTTTTTTATGGTAATTCTTTAGTCTTTATAGCTTCATGTGATAAAATAATAAATGTACTGGAATGTGGAATAAAATATGGAATGTTCTCCTCTAGTTTAAAAGTGTATTATATGTATGGGTTCGGCATGTTAAAGCCGACTTAGGAGGGAGGGCATCTGAAGTGGTCCTTAACTATATGAAAGTGTAATAAATAGCCTAAATCATGTTTTGTTTGATACAGCACTAATATCAACAGTTTTGGGTGAGGGTTGGGCATAGGGTTGGGCTTTAGCAAATATGTGTGTGTGTGTGTGTGTGTG